ATCACTGATTGCAGTTAGAAAATATATAATTTGTGGAAATGACGCACAACATTTACTTGTGGTTGATAATTATGTGTTTTTATCGATATATATGAAGAAAGCACGAAGTCCGAGCATTCTGAGCAAGTCGGAATAAACCTGACAACAGAAAGATATAAAATAAATTGGATATTACGTTACAATTAAATAGATAATAAAAAAATTTAATTATACATCCGTAGAAATGTATGAAAATTATTAAAAGTACATATTCGGACGGAAAGGTTAGGCGAGGATAAGTGAGGAGATTGTTGGAAGTTACCTTAACTTTTTGTTAACGTGCGCTCCTGTTAGTCCGGATTTTTTTTTCCGAGATTCCGAAATGCCGAGAAATCCGATTCTTCGCTTACCTCCTCGCTACCATGCGCTCCTGTTACTCCGGATTTATTTTCCGAGATTTTCGAGGTGTCGAGAAATTCGATTTCTTCGCTTACCTCCTCGCTATCTTGCGCTCCTGTTACTCCGGATTTATTTTCCGAGATTTCGAAATGCCGAGAAACCCGATTCCTCGCCTTACCTCCTCGCTATCTTGCGCTCCTGTTACTCCGAATTTATTTTCCGAGATTTCGAAATGCCGAGAAATCCGATTCTTCGCTTACCTCCTCGCTATCTTGCGCTCCTGTTACTCCGAATTTATTTTCCGAGATTTCGAAATGCCGAGAAATCCGATTCTTCGCTTACCTCCTCGCTATCTTGCGCTCCTGTTACTCCGAATTTATTTTCCGAGATTTCGAAATGCCGAGAAATCCGATTCTTCGCTTACCTCCTCGCTATCTTGCGCTCCTGTTACTCCGAATTTATTTTCCGAGATTTCGAAATGCCGAGAAATCCGATTCTTCGCTTACCTCCTCGCTATCTTGCGCTCCTGTTACTCCGAATTTATTTTCCGAGATTTCGAAATGCCGAGAAACCCGATTCCTCGCCTTACCTCCTCGCTGTCATGCGCTCCTGTTACTCCGGACTTAATACTCGAGATTTTCGGGGCGTCAACAAACCCGATTCTTTGCCTTACTTTCTCGCTATCTTACGCTCCTGTTACTCCGAATTTATTTTCCGAGATTTTCAACCTGGAGAAACGTGACTCTCGTCTATCTTACCTCATCATCCGAATTTGTTTTATTTATCTTTATAATTTTTCAATCATTCATACACAAGTTTCCACTTTTGTTTAATTATTATTTCAAATAAAAGTATTCAATATATTTAATTATTTAAATAATTATTGATTATATAGTTATGTTAAAAATTCAAATAACTTATATGAGTTATGGTATCATATTACAGCGCATTGAGATGTTGAATGATAACGATTTGAAATCGCTTTCGGCGGCAAGCCGAATACATGCATATGTACTACTGAAGCAGTTTTTTATGGGTTTATGGAAGGGCATACATACTTGGCGCCTTTTTTTTACCTTTTTTTAAAAAGGTAACTTTGTTGAGATCTATTAAACGTTAAATTAAACAATAACTACATAGACTAAGACAAGATTTAAAAAATTCTTAATTTTAGATATTCGTAGTGGGACGTAGAGTGATGTTATTTGAGGGGGAGCAAGATTTCTAAGTTTTTCATACAAACAACGCCGCTTGATGTCTCACTACGAAAACCTACTATGACAAACTAATAATTTTTAAAGTCTTATCTCAATCTATGTAAATTTTCGTAAAAGTTTTTCCGTAAGGGAAGATTACATTCTTAAAAAAATTACATTCTTAAAAAAGTTAAATTAAAATTATTTTAAATTTAATAACTTTAACAATGAGAAATTAACGTATAATTGTCAATTTAATCAAAAAAATTAAAATATTGAAAAAAATATAAAATATTTTTTTTTTATACTACTCACAGATACTAAATCGTGTTTTATCTTTCACATTCTCTATACATTCTTAGATTTATCGATTTAATACATTTCTGATGAAAAAACAGTGATTACAGTGAGGTACAATTTATCTTCAGAGCAGCCAAAGCAGCTCTACAATTACCTCCGGGTCACAGTATAAGTATAACCAGTAGCGGCACTATTAATAGGATCTTGTCGGTGTCAATGGTCTTATTGATCCTTTTAATTCGATGTCTCGAAAATAGCGCGCTCTACGATACTTTGCGCTGCTGTGCACTACCAGCGTAAATATTTTCGGTATTATAGATTACTGGTTACGTGAAAGAGTGAAAAATTTACTAATAATATAATTAATTGTATTAATAATTTATATTATATATGTGATAATGAGTGAAAAACGTGAACACGAAGGCAGTGATACGGAAGACGGCTGGATTGGACCGTTACCTTCAGAAGCGGCTCCACAAAAGAAGCAACGAGGTTAACTAACCTAACCAATACTGCTTTCATTAATTTTCTCTTAATAAATGCTAAGTGAAATTCTGTATATCTGTTACAGTTATTTCGCATCTTATTTTCATGTCGAATATATGACGTAATTATTTTCTAATAATTTAATACGAATAAAAGTGAAAAATATAAAGCTTCTCTATTCCACAGAGAAAATTTTAATTTTTCTGTTGTCTCTCTCTTCTCTTCTCTCTGAGATCTTTATTCTTGATATTTCTTGAGATACAATGATTATGTTTTACTTTAAAAAATTATATGTATCATTTGAAATTTTATTTCTTTTAATTTTACAGTCTTGGAGTATGAACAAGTTTACATAGATAATTTGCCATGCTGCGAATGTTATGAAAAATCTTATATGCATAGAGATGTCATTACTCATATTTTAGTAACAAAGTTAGTATCATAATAATAATTACAATAATGTGTAGCAATTATTTTTCTCAAAATCTTTTTTATATTTATTGATACAGGTCAAATTTCGTGATAACCGCTAGCTGTGATGGACATGTAAAATTTTGGAAGAAGCAGGAAGAATTAATAGAATTCGTAAAACACTTTCGAGCTCACTTAATGACGATACAATCAATGTCTGCTAGCTGCAATGGTGTTCACGTATGTTCAGTCAGCATAGATAAAACTATGAAAATATTCGACGTTATTAATTTTGGTAAGTATTAAAGTTTACATATAACTCTCTTTTCAGACGTAGAGGACATATTTAATTTATTTTGTCATGTATGCTATTTAAGATATGATAAACATGATAAAATTGGACTTTGTGCCACTTTGCACTGAATGGGTTTACTCAGCTGGCGATGCTATAGCTGCTGTGGCAGTGTCTTCACAAGAATCAAATAAAATATATATTTACGATGGTCAGGGATCAAGTATGCCTTTACACGTGTTTGAAAAACTGCATACTAAACTAGTGATCATAATGAAAGTAAGTTAGGCTATAATAAAAAATCAATATCAATGTTAAAATAAGAAAGAATAATGCTCCTTTCTTTTACAGTATAATCCTGTATATGAAACGTGCATTTCCGTTGATAAAGCTGGAATATTAGAGTACTGGACAGGTCCAAAAATGGAGTACAAATTTCCCAAGTGTATATCGTTTGAATCAAAATTGGACACTGACCTGTTTGAGTTCGCCAAAAATAAGACTTATCCGTGCGGTTTAGCGATATCGCCTGATGGTAAACGGTTTGCGTCCCTCAGTGGAGATAGAAAAGTTAGGATCTTTAATTTCCGGACGGGCAAATTATACAGAATATTTGACGAAACTCTGCAGAGATTTAGCGAATTACAGCAAACTGTACAGCAACTTCCAAACATGGAATTTGGACGTAGGTGAGATGTTTGCATTTTGTGTGATCAAAGTTAAATTGATTTCAATTTTTCAATAACTATTACTTTAATTTCTATTATTATCATAGAATGGCAGTCGAGAGAGAACTGGATAAAACCGAAACAAATTTAGGAAATATTATTTTTGATGAGTCTGGTTACATTATTCTGTATCCTACTATGTTGGGTGTCAAAATGGTGAATCTTTACACAAATCGTTGTATTAAAATCATGGGAAAGCCAGAGAACATACGACCAATGCGGCTAGCATTATTCCAGGTATTCAATAAAAATCTTAATCATTAAAGCGCTAGTCATGAAGCAACAGACATAATAAATGTATAATTCAATATAGGGAAAAGCGAGGAAGACTACTGCCGCATTAACCGTCGAGATGGAGGCTTCCGAGAATCCTACAATGGAAATGAATCGGCCAGATCCCACATTGTTTTGCACGGCTCACAAAAAAAATCGATTCTATATGTTCACGAGACGAGAGCCGGAGGACACAAAGAGTCAGGAATGCGATCGCGACGTATTTAACGAGAAACCTTCTAAGGAGGACATTATATCTTCCACGGAGGCCACAAACATGCAAAAGATATACGACACGGCGATAATCCATACGGCGCTCGGCGATATTCACTTGAATCTCTTCGGCAAGGATGTTCCCAAGACGGTGGAGAATTTCTGCGTTCATGCAAAGAATGGTTACTTCAATGGTCACATATTTCATAGAGTTATCAAGGGTTTCATGATACAAACAGGTGATCCAACTGGGACTGGTACCGGCGGTGAGAGCATATGGGGAGGTGAATTCGAGGATGAATTCAAGCCAAACTTGAAGCACGACAGACCATATACTCTGAGTATGGCAAATGCAGGGCCAAATACGAACGGTAGCCAGTTTTTTATTACATTGACACCGACAGTGAGTACAAATTTTTTGAACAAAGTTTCTCAGAAATTGGTTATACTTATATGTTCTTCGGATTTTACTTAATATAAATATTTCGTTCGTTTTTTAGCCCTGGTTAGATAATAAGCATACCGTATTCGGCCGAGTTCACAAAGGAATGGAAGTTGTTCAGAATATCAGCCAGGTAAAAACAAATCCTAAAACTGATAAGCCTTACGACGACATACGAATAGTTAGCGTGACTGTTAAATAATTTTATAAAATAAAAATCGAAAAACATTAGTATAAAATCAATACAGTTCCTTTATTGATCCAATACAGTTCCTTTCTCAATAATTTCATGATCTGCATACTGATGATGTCCATTTATTTTTGCGCCATTTGATATAATAATCCTCTGGTGAAGTTATATGCTCCCGTGGCACAAGTGAATAAATTGACGCTGAACAAATTATAATTCTTTGGTATAATGACCAGTGAGTATCTAGAATTGTGCAAATTCAAATGAATCAGATCAATTAATTTTCTATAATAAATTATAAAATCTCAAATAAAAGATATTTATATACCTAGACCAAATAGCACCTGTAATCATAAGACTCGCGGTTTGGCTGAGAGAAATCGTATCTACGGGTCGATTAATATCTCCTATGCCCGCTATAACAAGGCCCCATTTAAATGTTGGCGCCCAGAAGAATACAGTTGTCGGACCTAACAAATTGATTTTTTTTCTCGAAACATTTTCGATAAATTTAGGCGCAATCTCCTCAGAGAAAATTTAATTGAACAGACCATACCTGCAGGATGCAAAAATGCGGCGCGAAATTTCTCGGGTAAGACCGAAGCGATCTTCAACATTAATCTTCTATAAGCACTGGATGATGCCATAATTTCTTCCGTGTAAAATTATTCTGCCAAAAATTGAATAAATATATTTTATATAATTTAAAAATTACATGAAATCTTCATGATATAGCGTGTAAAAAAGGATGTAAATAACAGCTATAATATTCACACATATATCATACTATTTCGGTAATGACTTCATTCAGTATTAATATACGTTGAGTACCAAATATTTTAATCATCCATGCATCATTGTGTTTATAAGTTGTAATTATTTGTGAAGCTTAAGGACCGCCAGCTAACATTCAATTAATGTGCAAATCACTTTCTTAATTTTTAATTTTTGAAATAGTTTGCGAGATATTTTACACACATTCCACATTCTTATTATATTATAATCATAATAACCTATTTTGTAAATAAGAATTCATAAAGAAGCAACAATGAAAGAATTTGAAAAGAAAAAGAAAGACAGCAGTGGAATAAACATATGGTTAATATTTTATTATTTATTTATTATTTTCGTATGTAGAATTAATTGCATAATTCTCGCAACAATTATATAGCCCACTACGTTACAGTATCAGTATCAGTATACATAATTTTTTTGTATTAAACTGCAATTTCATGTCGACAAAATTATCTGTCACAAAGATTTGGCCTGCAATGTAATTAAAAACGAAGTATAATTACAATTAAATTTAAATAAATTTTAAAAATAACATTGGGGTAAAACAGAGATAAAATAAAATGTCGATAAAAATAAAAGATAAATCTTGCGAGAAGAAATCAGGACCGTGCTGGAACGATATGGAAGAGCTAAAATATCTGATATGTGCTATTGACAGTTGGTACGTGCAATTTAATTTAGGAAATTTCAATGAATTTCAACGATCAAAATTATCGCGTGTAGAAGAAAAACAATTAACGTTTAGTTTCTGGTAATTATTAACTGTTCTAGTTTCAAAGTATGATAACATTTATAGCAAATGCCCAAGTATTCCATCGCCGCCATCGCGCAGCATAATTTTGCCCCCGAGAGTTGAAGAAATTCCTTGCAAAAGTCCACCCCGGAGGCCACCTTGCATTCCACCACCTCGATGTTGTCCGATAATACCTGGACCTTGTTGCCCCCGATTTTTGTCACTTCCGATACCGTACTGCAATCCTTACCATCCTTGCACTCCATTACCGTGTTATTTAAGCAAATAGAAGGATCAAGGAATTTAAGAAAATAAAAAAAACGTATAAAATTAACCCATTGATTGCCACGTCTTTTATATATGAGTGACATCCAATTTCATGAAAAACTCCCAGAAAGCCAAACACATTTTTTTTTTCATAATTTATTTCCTTTTTGCCGTAAAACATTTCAGATTTAAATATTAATAAAATCTGTAATATTTTTGACATAAAAAAGTAAATTATGGAAAAAAACATTTAACTTCCTGGAAATATTTCATAAGATTATATTTATGAGAGATATGCCATCAGTGTGTTAATATATCGTATATTTATTTTAGCTTATGCACTATTTGTCATTTTGAAATAAACAACGACGAGTATAAAGATCAAAAAGGAAACCCTTTCATGGCTGACATAAAGGAAGGAAATTTATTACAAATCCATATAAAACATTCATATTTTGCTTGATTTTAACGAAAAATCTGTACATGTATGATCGACAGAATCTAATCAAAATATCGGATATCTTTTTCTCTTTTTGGAAAAACAAGATCAACGCAACCCTACAACAGTGGTCCATTTCGATATCATATAGTCTGTTTTCTGTTCCTGCATTAAACTATACTAGAAAGTAGAACTCACTTTCTCGTTTTCAACAAATATCAAACATACCTATCTCACTTTAATTTCCAAAAGTGTATACTAGTTTAGTCGCAGAAAACAGACCTATAGAATAATATCGATAGTCGCATATTTCACAGGGTTGCATGATATGTTCCAAATAAAAACGTCACCGTTCTTATAAGCAATATCGACTACATTTACACGGCACCCTTAATAAAATTTAATAACATCCGTAGTTATGAAACTGGCCAATCACAGTCGTTCCATTCTTCCGAGGAACAGCTATGATTGGCCAATTTCATAACTACGAATGTTATTAAACCCGATTAAGCGTGCCGTGTAACAGAGGTCAATGATGAATAAACACCAATATGATACAGACAGAATCATATTCGTACCTCACGCGCATCTATATAGCTTAAATATCGATAGCAAATAACCGAGGCTACTTTGCCTACGAAATTACTTCGCTTGGTCGATTGTGTGTTTATTTTGTTCCCACCAACACAACAGGAATACCATTCATATTTCTATATTATTCGAAGATTCCGATGTTGGCAAATGTATCTTTTGTATTGATTACATTTTAACACATATACGCTCTCCTTTAAGTTCAGACAATTATTCGCGATCAAAGGATTCATTCATCGCATATTTCAGCGAAACCATTTCTTTTTGTTCAGAAAAGTGCTGTTACGAATTCCCGTATGTCTCGATTCTTTTGATCAAACGATTTTCATCTGCTGCTGGAGTTGTATCTTTGATCAATAAGGGGGAATACCACTCTTGAGACCTAAAAATGATATCTAATTTTGGCAATTTTTTGTAGTAAACTAAATAAAGTCAATCAAAAATCGTTTTTAAGGGCTTTACTATATGAACTTTCTTGAGAGTAGAACTTGAGAGTACAAAAAAATTTTTTTTTTAATTTTTATCACAAAATGGCGGTGCTATATCAGCAGCATCGAATCTCTTTTCTTGGCGAGTGAATATGCGGTGTACACGGAATGTTCTACACATTTTGACGTGGAACAAAAATCTAAAAATTTTTATTATCTACATACTTAAAGCTAGAGAAGTATGTAAGATTATTTCAAAATATTTATTTTTGTAAAAATGATAAATGTTTGAAAAAAAAACATTTTCGACCAAAAAAATTTCATCTTTAAATGTTAATATCTAACAAACAAAGTTTTCAATATATCGCAAAAATCCTACATATATACTTCTCTAGATTAAATATCTGAGAGTAATCTGTGCAAATTTCAAATGAATCGAATAAGAATTGTAAAAGTTATCACCGGCTTGTGAACCTCGTTTTGAGAAAAACGCGTTTAAAGTTTTCAGAACTGATTTTTTGCTTATAAAATTATAAATCGGAATTGTACCTTTAGTCTGCAATGCCTGCGCCATACACTTTACAAGTGGCCAATATCTATCTGCCAAAAATTGGCTTTAACGGGATTATACAGTTGAGATACCATACCGACTTAAAACTGAAATATTATTCTTAACAATGAACTATAAATTTAAGTAAAAAAATTTCGATTTTTTTCAAACCTCAAGATGTATTCCCCTTAAAGTATCGTGAATTTTTACTGCAGGAGATAGTTAAAATATCAATTAAACACAAATTGGTGTTTTTTCGGCGCGGAGGTAGCAAAGCGATTGACTTTCCCGTTACCAGCTGATATTATTAAGTAATAATTATTATTATCATTACTACTAACATGCTGCCTTATAAACATTCATAATCTACATTATTGACTACATTGTTGGCTTATTTATAATTCAGAGAAATAATGAGCTTACAGTAATATTTCAAGCAGATCGTTAGCACACATACATAACACAAATATGACGCGAAACATTAGATCTTTGCAGAATTTTCTTTCTGAGATGCCAAAACTAATTTTACGCCTCGAAGCCACATTATCGTAAATTACATTCGTCTGTTTGCGTGAGCTTACATATCAGATGCAGAATATTAGATTTGCATCTCATAAATGTAATTGTTTATCACATGTCCCGTTTCGTTATCGATGACTTTATTTCCGATATTACATCGCGCTGAGCTCTTATCCTATTCAGCGGCCTCGTGATAAATCACAATATATTCGCTATGATGGGTCACAATAAGACTTATTCGAAACGGAATATGTAATAACAGTCATTCTTTATATGCGCGGCGCGAATAGAAATGCGACGCAACGTCGTAGCTCTCTCATAAAATTGTAACTTATATGCGTATGCATACGAGTACATACGTATGTGCGTGTTTTTCGCTTTAAGAGGCTTTACTAGACTGCTTGGTGAGAAAAATGCATTTTGAGGATAGGTGGAATTAAAAATACAATATTTCGACATTAAAAATTTACGTATTTGAGATTGTATGTATTTATTTACACAATCTCATCTAAAAGACTGCAAAGTCAGAAAATTTTCCATTTTTTATCTTTCATATAAAATATTTACTGCCGTGCGAAACTGCGTCTTACAAAAGATTATGCTCGTGTAACTCCCAGATATTTAATCTGAAGCACAAAACCCAAATATCTTTTATACTATCTATCGAGACGTGGCACATTTTAACGTTTTGGCATTTCAATGAAATTATGACCTTTCTTTAAAACTAATTCTTCTTTTCAAAAGGTCATAATATTTATGGAAAACTAAAATCATAGATTTAAAAAAATATCGCATTTAACAAAATATTTGAATTTTGTAACAATTCTATAGTTATTCTATTTACAGTTTAAAATACAGAGTTTCGCATCAATAAATGTTATATTTATAAAACATTTTAAGAAATGTCATATCTAACAAAATATTTGGATTTTGTAACAAATAAATCCCAGAGTTATTCTATCTAGACAGTTTAAAATACAGATTTTCACAGCAATAAACATTATATATTTGCAGAAAAGATATAAGCAAATCGATTTGTTGTTATTTTATAGTTTTCCAAAAAATTATATAAATAAATACATTTTTAACGTTAAAATATACTTTATATTCCGTCCTTCAAAGAAAAGGAAAAATTCATAAAAAATTACGTTTTTTCACCGCACAGTTAACCTTTATCAAATCCTTATCCATTTGATTTTTTGAAAAGAGAAACGTGCCTCATTTAATTAACTTTTCAGGTTTTCCGATATTGCTGAATGTAAAAAATGAGATTAACCAAAAAAATTTGAAATGAATATAATATGACGAATGTAAAAAAATAAAATTTTTATTATAAAAATTTTTATTATAAAAGTTTGTATCGGGATGTTTTTGAAGTCAAAATTTAATTCGTAAAACAAATATATATCATGTTGATAAAAATTATGTAGTAAAACCCAAAAATTTTCAAATTAATCTGTATCCGCAAGTACTATCTGACATCATCATTAGATTCTTCCGTCATTAAGATACAATAAGAGAGTCTCATTTATACCTTTTATATATATATATATATAATAAACATCATCAGAAATTTATATTCTCAGAATCATATTTGAGTGAAGATAACACTGTACATCGTGTATCAAACCACTCAAACCTTTCACAGTTGAATTCCAAAACTTTACTACGAAAATAATTTTTTATATCTTGTAACATTTACTACAATATTTTTTTTATTAAAATTTGAATAATTCCTTTTAAATTGAGCCTTATTGACTCAACGTTCACCAGAGATATCATTTTTTTTAACTGGGACATGCACTAGAAAAGAATTATACTCATTCGGATCCATCTCTCTTGAATTATGTGCCAACTAGAGCGGCAAAATTGCGTTGCATTTCGACGAAAAAGCTTCTGGTCGAAAAGAACGACCGATCCTTTATTTTCCTACGCACGAATACAAAAGCCCCGAGGTCTATATAGTTTCATTCGTGCGCTACTTGCAACATCGTTACGTGTTATAGACACGAATTTCTTTGAATTCCAATTTCGCGTCAGGCATTCTGAGAATCCGTTCGATATTCTTCACGCTTCGCGTTACCAATTTGCTGCGTAGCCACCTCTGTCAGATACGTTTTCTCGCCTACGTCGCACGATCCTCACATATTCGCACAGGTAGTACACGTATTCGCGGACCGAAGAGCGACATACGCGGACGATCGATATCTGATGAAATCACTTTTCTGTCTTCGCCGTATACGGAGTGCTGTGCAAAAGGAACGTTAGAGAACGAAGAGGTTCTCGCAGCTCTTGGTTTTCCTCTTGAAGCCGAGCAGGTGCTTCAGGATCCGCCTGCGGTGTTTGCTACGACGGCGCCTAGTCGCCTGATCCCGGCTGCGCTGCGGATTCAGCTTGATCTGTGCCAGAATACCGACCAAGAGCTCGTCTACGTGATGAGCCAGACCCGAGGACGTCTCGATAAATTTGCAACCGCAACTGTTCGCCAAACGGCGGCCAACTGTCGGCAGCAATAGTGGACTCAAATGTCATACGAGTAATTAAAATTTTAAACTTTAAACAATTTCCAAAATTTAGGATAAAATAATTTTACATACTGTGTAT